TCAAGAGCGGGGGATGCATCCCCCCATCCCCCTCGGGATTTACGCCCCTGGGTGTTAGGGTTAGGGTTAGGGTTAGGGTGTTACACTGTTAGGGTTAGGGAGTAGGCGTAGGCGACATACTCGTCGACACCTCGCGTACTATATATACCATATACTCATATACGACAACGACACTTTCAGAGTCACTGTATATCAACTTGCCTTCACAAAAACTAATGCAGAACTAGCCACTCCCGCACTCGCCACACATTTATGTGTCAGTGTGCAGCGGCAGCAGCAATGGCGGCAGCCAGTGTTTGTTGTAGATGAGCATTTGAACGGCATTTACAGGAAATTATCGGCAATAATAGGTGAAAGAGAGTATAGAAACATTAAGAATAAGACTTTGGTAGTAAATTGATTTCGTATTTATTTAGCATTATATTTTATTGAAACGCTCCAAGTGCCTGTGGTGTCGCCAATACAAGAGTTCTGCTCTGATAATGATATATAGATATTAACTCTATATAATTAATTAATTATCATTATTATAATGGCGACACAGCACACTCGCAGTAGCGAGTGGTGGAACGGCTAGTTCTGTATTAGTTTTTGTGAAAGCAAGTTGATATGGAGTGACACAACAGTGGAAGTGTAATTGAGTAGGCCTATTTGTGAGTGTGCATTCATATTATTTTCTGCTCTTATGTTTTTACTGACTCTGTCCCAAGTACATGTGGCCTGGTCGGGCTACATTTATTGTACCTATGCCTAGGCTATGCCATGGTACTAGGCAAACCATAGATATAGAATATAGATATAGTCTGTATCTATGGGCAAACGAAAACTGCGACGAATGAGCAGTTAGTTTCGTCTGTTTGCAGGGGTAGCTTTTACTAGCTGTTTTAAAATTAAATCGTGATATAACAAATTGTCAGTTTTTTTAATGTTTTTTATTGTTTATCATATTTATATACGTTTAATTATTAGTAGTACTTAGGAAGCTTATCTTATCAGACGGCGCGTGACTGAGCAGCTATAAAGGCTCCACACGGGCACTTGGAACGTTTCCATAATAAAGTGATAATACTTTAAAATAGATCATCAGAAATGTATTTGGTACCAAAGTCGTAATGTTTATCTAATCTCTTTCGCCTATTATTGGTAACAGTGCCTCGTAAATGCAGTTCCAGGGGTAGAAATTAACTTTTGAACAAGGGAGTCCAGCGGACTCCCTACCCTCAAAACGAGGGAGTCCAGAATAGTTTTATTTGAGATATACAGAGTTATTCATCTAGATCTGCAGAGGTGATAGGTTTTTTGTATGGAAGGGTGTCAGGCTGTATAGACAATCCGTCGCACAGCCTGGTCGGGCTAGCCCGCGCTGTGCTGCGTGCACAAACAACATGAATAAGAGAGTAACTTAAAAGTAGTAGTAAAGAATAGAAAGTAGAAGTAGAAGTAGAAACTAGAAATAGTAAAGAAGTAATGAATAAGAGAATAACTGAATAAGAGAATAACTCTCTTATTCATGTTGTTTGTGCACGCAGCACAGCGAGGGTGGGCGTGCGGTGTACTTGTGTGTTGCATATGAGCATTTGACAGGAATTTACAGGTGATTATAGGCGAAATAGAGTAGAGAAACATTTAGACTTTGGTACATTTCGTGTTTATTTACCATTGATTTTTTTTATTGAGACGTTCCAAGTGCCTGTGATCCTTTTGGTTCGTTAGTCAGCCGGGGGCACAGCCACAGGCACAGGCACTTGGGACAGAGTCAGTAAAAACTGAAAATAATATGAACGCATATTCACAAATCTACCCCTCAATTACACTTCCACTGTTGTGTCACTGTAGCATGAAGGGGCGTTGTCGTATAATGATTAATGGCGTATAATATGTACCCGAGGTAACTATTTGATATGGTTAGGGCTAGGGTAGGGTGTTAGCAGGGGCGTAAATTCGTACCGAGGAGTGGGGGGGAGGATCGGCGATAGCCATCACATACTATAGCACGAGCACAAGCCCACAATAATTTACGCACACGCGCGCGATCGCGCACGCACGAACATACACACACGCACACACACATACACACACAAACGAACAAACAACAAACATACACACACAAACACACGTACATACATTTATACATGCATACATACATGGACGCACATGCCAAATTTGACAACCATAAAGTAAAAAATTTGGACATATCTCGGACACATTTTGGACAAATTTGGACATATAGTAAAATGTATGTATAACTGTATAGCCTACACGTATACAGTATGTCACGATCATTTAGAGTACAGGGTCTCCAATCCTGTGAACTCCAAATGCAGAATGAAATTGATGGACAGGGGGGGGGGCGAAATTAACCTTGGCTGCCGCAGGCAGGCTCGCATGCCGTAGGCATGCCAGTGCTAGGGGGTCTGATGGCATGCCCCCCAGAAAATTTTGAAATATTTAAGCCATTTTCCTGCAATCTGAGGCTAACTGTGGGGCATATTCTCATGTCTGATGACACTATCTCAACCCTAGACTCAACCCTACAAGTTAGGATTCAAAACACTTGTCATGACTTTTCAGAGAGCGTACACAGTTAGGTTACTATAGTAATAATTAGTGTTGTCAATATGGTGGAGAAGGAGGAGGGGGAAAAGGGAGAAGGTGGTGGAGGATCGAGGGGGAGAAGCTGGAGGAGAAGGAGACCTTTAAGCTATAAAACTGGGTATTAGACCCTTAAAACGAAGTTTTAAGGTCTTAAAACCTGGTTTTAAGGTCTAAAACCCAGATTTAAGGTCGTAATACCTAGTTTTAGGGCGTAATTCTTAGTTTTAGAACTTAAAACCCAGTTTTAATATCTTAAAACCGGGTTTTAAGGTCTAAAACCAAGTTTTATGCCTTAAAACTAGGTATTAGAAGCTTAAAACCCGGGTTTAGACCTTAAAACCTAGTTTTAAACCTTAAAACCTGGTTTAAGACCGGTTTTATGGTCTAAAACTAGGTTTTAATACATTAATGTATTCATTAGTCTGTGGCGACCACTCGATCAGCTGTATACATAATAACAGGAGCTAATAATGACAAAGCCATCATTATCATTTTGTCATTATTAGCTCCTGATAATAACAGGAGTATCACTCCTGATAATAAAATGGACCACTACTAGTTAGACCATAGATTACCCATAGATATAGAAGAAGATATATAAGATATAGATATAGGTGCGGGCAGACAGCCGGGAACTTTACCACATCCGGGAGCTGTGCCGGTGAAAACAACAGCCTGTCTCCGTGAGCTTACATGTATGCAATACCCCATTTCCAAACCAAAAGCATACTAATTTCCTTGCATATATGCCGAAAACTTAGGTAGTCGGCCTAGTAGGTTGTCACAATCATATATATTGTACAGATAAGAAAAGATATTTTTTGAGATGCCTTACACAGGCGTGATAAGTCATAAGTGCATGGCTGACTGCCACTTAAATGTAAATGAGTAAATGAGTAAATCTAAATGGTACGCACTGGAGTTCGTCAAAATTCTCCACTATTTGTTCTGATCATTTCGTGGCAGGTAACTACTATTTTATAACTGCGTGTGTGTGTGCGTGGGCGCGTGCGTGTGTGCGTGCGTGTGCGTGTGCGTGCGTCTGTGTGTGTGCGTGTTTGTGAGTCCTTGTGTGTGCGTGTGCGTGTGCGTGTGCGTATGCGTGTGCGTGTGAGTGTGTCACTGTGTGTGCGAGTGCGTGTGCGTGTGCGTGTTTGTGTGTCACCGTGTGTTCGTGTGCGTGTGTCACTGTGTGTACGTGTGCGTGTGCGTGTGCGTGTTTGTGTGTCACCGTGTGTTCGTGTGAGTGTGTCACTGTGTGTACGTGTGCGTGTGCGTGTGCGTGTTTGTGTGTCACCGTGTGTTCGTGTGAGTGTGTCACTGTGTGTACGTGTGCGTGTGCGTGTGCGTGTTTGTGTGTCACCGTGTGTTCGTG